AAAAAGATATAGGAAAACCAAAAACATAGAAATAGGGAACAAAAAACTGAACATAATAGGTGATTTAGAAAGTACCTTCTGCTCAATGCATGCTTCCAATAAAAACGGCTAGATATATTTTCGGCGAATGGCAAAAAATACAATAATTTCAAAAATTAAAACTGAGCAACACGGCGAAACCTACGACAATATAATGTATCAGTCAATTCCAGCAGTGCCCATCCACCCCCGGGCCTTCGCAGCTTTCCTAATCCCGGGGGTGGGGCTATTGCCGAAATTTTTCAGCCCGGGGGTGGGGACTTAGACGTTTTCCATCATGGTGATTAGCGGACTATAACATGGCAGATTTCGCTGGAAAAGATACTAAATTCGTTTGCAAATGGCTTGATACTCATTCTTTGAGATGGTCTTTCAGTACCATTGTCTTTGATCATTGATGAATAAAATCTTTTGTCTACATGAAATAGTTTTTCTTCTTCAATGGACAATGATCACTATAAAAAATTATCTATGAGTGCACCAGACACCGGACGCGATTGGACAATGCGACACGATTTTTTTAGTTTTCGAAAGTTAATGAAATAGACAATGAGAGCAAATTTTAAAAGATATGTAGACCAAATAACTCAAAATGTTATAACGCTTCTAAATATTTAGAAAGTTTAAACTAGGATCAAAGTTTATATCGGTCAGTGAAAATCGAAAAATCGCGTCGCGTTGTCGAATCGCGTCCGGACCTTTAAGTAAGGACAATATTTTCATTAAGATTGACCTTTAATATTATCATAGGTCTAGCTAGATACTGTACGCTGAAGTTAGGGTTGAGAATTTATACAGTGTTGCATTAATATAAAAGCATTTTTTTGTATTGAATTATAGCGTGCAAATCAACGTGTACTAAACAGTTAATATTATTGCCCGGGGGGGTGGGGATATAGACCCAATTTGTTTGCCCAGGGGTGGGGCTTTAGCACAGTTCTTCTTTCCCTGGGGTGGGGACATAGCCATTTTCTTTCCAGAAATGGCTAATTCCCCGGGTGTGGGCCGGGGAGGGAATGGGCATCGCTAGAATTCACTGATACATAATATAAACTCGTCTTTCCATAGGTAGCCCAACAATCCGCACGCCGTGAACAGAGGGGACTTCCGTCTATGCATGCGCGAGAAACGTAAGCGTGGAGTGCACGTGAGCGCGGGTTGATCGCGTGACTGAATTCTAAAAACAAAGACCAAATTTGCCAAAATTAGTCTTGTTATGAAGTCGTTTTCTTGTTTCTTTAGTGTTTCTACGCTCACAATTTTAGGCATTTCCAACATAGAAGTGTTTGTTTTGGAATAAGAACGTGAAAGTAGAAATAAAATTTTTGTTGCAGCAGTTTAATTTCGCCGTACAAATATGCCTGTTTTATATGTATATCTTTTTCGAAGTAAGATATACAAGTGCAACTTGACATTCTTTAAATTCGTACTTGCTCTATTTTTGACTCCATAAAAACTACTTTTATCCATGAAGAAACTGTTTGACTTCAAAAATAAGCTTGAATTTTTGAGGTGATATAGGCTAATTTTTTTGCAAACAGTGATTCAGTACTTCGTAGTGTACTTGTTGTATATGAACAAAAGTCTAAAATGAGTTCAACATCCATCATATACCGATTTCACCGAACGGTCAAGCTTCTCTGCAAAGATCGCCCCTTTGCCCAATTTTTATCGATTAGATCATCGTGTTATCAAGTCAAGGATTATGTATACTTTAACATAAAAGAGTAAAAATACTGGTGATAAAGGGTAGATTTTGAATAAAATACGAATATCTGTATACAAGATCTGAGCGTTATTATGAAGCACTCGATACTTTCTCCAACAACATATTGCGCTTATTTTTTTACAAAATTAAAAATATTCACACATTAAAGATGTGAAAATGTAGCTTGCATTACAAAGAAATGTTGGCTTACCTAAGTTATACCTTACACGTCGATTAAAGCCACGTGCCACATTAAACTACAGGTCACATGTCGGTAGAGAACTCGACGAAGTATTCAGAATATTTCATAGCCAGCTGGCTAGTATAAACGCCGCTGTGTACTATTCCTGTGGTGAAGTGAAGTGAAAGGCTTTATTTACTGAGGGTAACACGTGACAGTTAGAAACTGATAAACTTGTGGCCCTCAAAATTTACAAAATTTAAGATATTAGAAAATAGTCCCTATTTAAAGTTAAAATTATTAAAACACGACCCTAACGCTGCAACCTATTTGCACATTTTTGATCATCTAAAAACTGTTTATAAATACTACGCCTAAAGCTAAAAGCAGAATGTATACTTCTAACGTTCAAATCTAATTTGTTCCAGTCTATAATTGTTCTTACAGTGAAGGTTCTGCCTCATTCTGTTTTACGATTGTAAATTGGGCATAGCATATTCAAATTCGAATAACGTGTATTCCTACTATGCCTGTCTGAATTTCGCGCTAAAAGTGAATTTAGATAGCTAGGAGTATTATAAGCACTATTTACACGCTTATACGCTAACATTATTCTCTTGATCAAAGACTCCTTGGTAAAAGGAAGCCAATTTAAAGTGTTAAACATAACAATTGAAGGTGCCATCTTTTCTGCATCCAAAATAATCCGGCTGCCCGCTTTTGAAGTTTCAATACTCTTTGAAAACATTCAGCATTGCAATTATCCCAGATTACACTCCCGTACATCATCGTAGGCTTTATAACACTATTAAAGTACAACTCCCTTTGCTGTTTCTTGAGGTACGGACTAATGTGTTTAAGAAGACCAAGCTGTTTCGAGAGTTTCCGACATAATCGATCAATATGTTCTTCATAATTTAATCTATTGTCAATCGTTACTCCAAGGAGTTTTTGACAATTTACTTCAGTAATCTGTGTATCATCCACTTTAACTGCCATGTCCATATTCCCTTTTTCTAAGATTTTCTTTTCAAGACGCTTTCCTGATATAAGCATAAACTTTGTTTTTTCGTCGTTAATACTCATCTTATTTTGAATCGACCACTGATTTAAGGCAGCAAGATCACAATTTATATCATGGACCATTGAGGGAATATCATTCCAATGAGTACTTGCAGATAAGGTTGTATCGTCTGCAAATATATCAACTGATGAATGTGATAGATGGAGTGGAATGTCGTTTACATATAGAAGAAACAGTATAGGTCCCAGTACTGAACCCTGCGGCACACCATGATTAACAGGCAAACGACTTGACTGCTGTCCATCAATAGTTCCTGTGAATTATGATGCCCAACACACCGGGTAAATTTACCACTTTGTTCGGCTGTTACATGCAAGTGCACTTTTAAGATACAAGGTCCAATCATATCATGTTCTTCGAAGCATCTGCTCAAAACAGTGCAACATAAATATCTCCACTCCTCTTCTTCGTATGAAAACATACGTTTTCCTTTCAATTGCTTTGCTTTAAGAACAACAATTATAATAATAATAAACTTTATTTAAAGCTGGGTTACAGTCCATTCTGCGCATGTGTGGGCTTTGTTTACATCTTTTGTTTTGGTTTGGATCCACTTCAATTGTATAATATGAAGTATAACGGCTATGCGCTAGACAAATTGTAAATGAAGGAGCCAGGAGTGAAGTTAATTTTTTTTTAAATTGTCTTCTGAAAGACAAGCAATTAAATATTTTAACAGACCACCAATGGAAGATATATCGTTGATCAATTCGGCATTTTTCTTTCGTGCGCTTCGTTAATGAAAATATATCCAGAAGAGGCCAACACTGCAAAGGTGCGAGTTCGCAACTCATTGTACGTATTCTGAATATAATGTTCGGCATTGTAAAATAAACTTTGGAAGTGTTAAAGTAATCATGAACCTTTCCTTGGGTTATTTGTTCGTCGAAACACATTGTCAGAGTCATTGTTGCTGTCATGGCAGGAGCACTCGGAGAAAGCTTTTCGCTGGAAGATATGTGGAGACGATATGTTCATGTCGCGGCTTCTGTTTTCGATAGAGAGCCTGCAAAAGTATGGGTAGTTTTTGCTTAAGCGCGTGTCGCGAATAGGATTTTGATACATGTATGAACAATCGAAGGGTTTAAGAAGGTGACAGTGGCCAGACGGTGAGTTTGTATTATTGCTATTAGTTATGTACTGACACTGTTCGTTATACTGTTCGTTATAAACGTGATTCACACATGTACATGTAATCTTATTATTTTCGCTTATTGTAGTTTATACATGTTTCGTTTACGCAAAAAATGGCCTGAGCACTGTTTATTTGAGAATATGTAATGTTCATTGTGACTGTTCACTCTAAACGAAGGATAATGATCATCTAACAATAGATGAATAAACTTTGTTTACATAGTTTAATACTTTGCCTGCCAAGAATATGCACAGACATACATTTGAGTAACAGTACATTTCTGAAAGCTTTAACACATATGATTTGTTTTATTACATACCCTGCATAATTATGCATATCCTTGCCGCGTAATTAAAATATCAAATTATGTAAAAAGAGTTTATCCGTCTATACAAGTCTATAGAGGAATTTGTGGTAAAAATATCATTGTTTCACTGTGCTTGAGTCTTTGCATTTAATTAATGATAAATATCTTTACATTTCAGAATCTTGTGGAAGCAATGGCTTTAATTTTAAACGCCCCAAGAGCGTCAGCCTAAATGCCCTATACAGCGATATCCTTCTCCAAATGGGATATACCCTGGGTATCAACCTGTTAGATTGTAAATATTTGTTGCACATGTTGTTATTATGTTATTGATCATTGAGGAAAACTTTATTATTTCATTAAACCATTTTACTGCAATTATCTCCCCATGACAGGGAGGATCATTTTAAATATTTTGAAAGAACTTGGGTAATTCACACCACCTGCATGCATGTTAAGGCCCATTCACGCAAGCAACCGTCGTTACAAACGAACACGTGATATCGATGATTGGAGAGCATTTAAAAACGCCCAAAGATCAGTCAAATCCACTCTAAAAGCTGCTGAAAAACAACACGTTCGAACTGAAGTTAACCTCCATAAAGATAATTCTAGACCGTTGTGCATGGAAAGTGATTAATAGGTGCATTCCATCTAAAGATAAAAGAATTTTGACTTACCACAAAAATACATTAGAGTTGGCCAACGATTTCAACCAGTTCTTTCAATCTGTGGGAAAAAGAGCTGCCGAAACAGCTGAAATGTTAGCCCTACAAAATAATTTAAATACATCAACTGAGTTAGCCTCAGAATAGGAGATCTGAACTCTTCTGTACGGGATTGTTCAAGTTCACTCCCGTCACATGCACAGAGGTTCAACACATAATAACAACAATGCCGTCGAACAAATCTCCAGGACCAGACAAAATCAGCATGCGGATTATTAAGGATTGTCTTCCGGTCATACTCGGCCCATTGACAGACATCATTAATAACTCATTTACCACTCTGCGTTCCCTGAGTCCTGGAATCATTCGTCGACGATTCTAAGATCTTTATGTCATTTCCAATTGAAGATATTGCAAGTGCAAAAACAAAGATAGAGGAGGACCTCAAATTGGTCGCAACTTAGTTCTTCGAAAATAAACTGTTGATAAACCCCGAGAAGACAAAGTCACTCTTGATAGGAACTCGTCAACTGCTCGGTAAGCTCCTTGAGGAGACGACAATTACATTTCTTGGTGAAGAGATCACACCAACCACAAATGCCAAAGACCTGGGATTAACCCTAGACAGTTATCTGACATACGATTACCATATCAAAAATGTTGTATCATCTTGTATGGCCAAGCTGTGTCAGATAAACAGAGTAAAGGATAGTTTTGATAGGGATAGTCTTCGCTTAATTATAAATGCTTTAGTAATGAACAAACTTTTGACAAATACGGGAAGATATGATCATGTGACACCAGCACTACGGGCATTTCGCTGGCTTCCTGTAGAGGAACACTTAAAATATAGAGAGACACTAATAACATACAATTGTATGAGCGGATTAGCACCACCTTATCTATCCAAATTATTTATAAAATGAAATTAATTTCACGATCTAAATACAAGGAATAATAAAGCGCTACACATCCCTCAACACAAAACAGTTCCAGGACAAAGAACCTTTTATTACATGCAGAGCAGTGAAGTTATGGAATGACTTAATGGATTAAGACCTTTAAAAGTTACCTTGGAAAAGATTTAAAACTGAGTTAATTAAAGCAGAAGATGCTAAACAACAATTAATTACATTTTCTGATATTATAGATTTAATAGATTTTAAATAAATTATATATATGTAAATATATTTCTGATCTCATACACAAATAGATTTTAAATAAACGCTATAAATAGGAATTTTAATATAACTATTCGTTCTGTAAATAGGTATTGAAAAACCCTCTCCGGGAATACTTCATTCAGTAATAATAATTATGCGCTGTCATGAAGTTTGTTTCTACTGAATTGTCGCTTAACTTGCGTGACTTTATGTGCCGGGGAATTACTATGCCTATGGTAAAGACTAATACAGTAATAGATATTGTGTTTACACTGCAAAGCTTGGCCTTGCTTACATGCATTAGACAATCTGCCTTGACTATTGTGTTCTATTAGGCAGGTGTCACAATAAAAAAGTGCAATTATACCTTGATTTGTCCCGTTTGTAATCATGTTAATGTCTGATTCAAACCAAAATATCCGTTTAGTTAATATAGTGTTTCTTAGAGAACGAGGGATGGTTGTAATCATGTTAATGTCTGATGTAAAAGGGAGGGTTAACGCACATGCCGCACGACCATCTGTATATTACACATGACACATCACAGTAATGGTAGGATAGAAGGTAACAAGTTTTATCAGTTGCCCGGTACTTATATTCAATACAATTATCTGCAATTATCGGAATTGTGGAAATTATCGAATTGTGGAAACTCTGCGAGCTTTAAACTTAAACTAACAGACATCAATTAACTTAAGTAGATCACGTTTGGAGGCGTTATACTTAGCATATTTTTAAACACAAAGAGAGTGGACAGTTGGAAATGGAATTATATTTGGAAGGAGTCACTGTCAGTATATTTTTTATTATACTAATACTAGTATATTAATTAAGGTAAAAAGATGATTTATCTAAATTTTCTATATAATTTTGGTTACAAAACCCCCACAATGTTCTTAGCATTTTTACGGCTTAAAAATTATATAGAGAATAATACATGGGTGCTTGGAAATACCAGATTTATTTCGAGTGTTAAACATGATATCTCACGAGTGAGCGCAGCGACAATTTAAGTGGCAATGCGCCCTGATGTGCCCTACTCTAATATTTTACTGAAGGACGGATTTTCGTTTTTTGTGGCTAGCCCGTTCGCGGGCTAGCCATTATGTAACGCTAAAAAAATTGTAAGAGTTGTGACGGAAATTGTCGACCTTACTTCGGAAACTGTCGTTGCCAGACTATTATTATTAAGCAATATGTCTGCGATTTTTACAAAATCACAGTTGGCAACGCTGGCAGAAATACTCGAAGGAATTTTTCACTTAAAGCAAACGGTAAGTTATTTCAATCGATATATTTGTGTTTATAATTTGCGAATCTGTCATTTATATATAAAATCGTTGCTATTCTGCCTATTATGTCTGCTCTGCTTCTGGACAAGTTTACTCTAGCTGAACTCTGCCTCTTGCTCTGGTCAAAGAGATTTTGATCACGCTTCATAATTCATAGAAAGCTTTATTACTTCATAATCATGTATATAATCAAACGTGCTTACACAGATCTTGAATTTTAATATACCATTGTGCGGGTATTTATAATTAAGAAGTAAGCCCATTGCTCTATCAACTTGCAGGTATTAATATAAAACTACAATAGACAATTCCCTAAAACTAGGCAAGGAGAAGCAAACAAATCACCACAGCTAGAAAGAGCATACTAAAATAAGTAAAATGGCAAAGTTTGGTTGCGAAATGTTGTAAAATGCGGAAAATATAGCCTTGTAAATTTTGTATACTTTTGTATTCCAATTTCCGCACTGAAGAATTGAAGGTATACAAAATATGCGAAA